ACCACCACAACAACGAAGTACACATGTGCTATTACAGGATACCAAGTATTTTTACTTCATTCACTGTGACACAGCTCTTCAAAAAAACCCCAAACTGGCCTGAAGATGCTCAGTTTGGGGCAGTTCCCTCACATAAAAGAGAAAACCTGAAATATCTAAAAATCAATCGATGTATTACTCGGGAGAGTTTGAAGAACAAGTAAAGAAGAGAAGGGATGGTTAAGAAAGCTCACAGTGATCCAGACAAAGTTTTGGCACTATCCTAGAACTCAAAACTTGAAGCATCAAGGAAAGAAGAAACAGCATCTCCTCAGGAAAAACGATGCAGGAATAATTCAGTTTGGGGATCAAAGCCGAGGGGAACCACCGAAACCTCCAAACTTGGCATTAAACTGTTCCTGAGTAGAAGGTTCCTTCACTAGCAGGTTTAAGGGAAAAAAATACATGAATCAAGAGTAAGCCACACGCTACAGATACAGCCCAGGACTCTCATTACTCAGTCAAGCATATGGGTGACCAAAGAGCAAACCAAAACCACCCCTGCAGACGTTTCTGGGTGCACAGCAGCAGCCAGACATCAACACAAGCAAAGGGAGAAGTCACAACAATGGAAGCAAAGGGAGGTAGCCCCAGTCCCAGAAACAGGAAGGAAAAAGGATGGCAGCACTGGATTTCACTACTTTTAAGGAAGTCTAGCTCAATGCCATAATGTAGCTTCTCTAACTCCACAAGCAAAGGCTTCATGCAATGCAACTGCAAATGGCACAAGAAGGACACCTGAAAAGCCACACAAGGTGCTTCCACCAGGACTGGGCATGGCTCACACTCAGGAGTCCCCTGAACAGCCACCATCCAATTGCTTTGACCAGTTACTACCCTGCTGGTGTGATATGAAGTGAATTCTGTTAGTCAGAAAAGCATCAAGATCACATGCCAGTTCCTTTAGGTGTCCATTAAGGAAAACTCACACTTAAAACCTCTGCAGCATCTTGTATTTCTGGCTGCAGAATGGGGTTGCAGATGTGCAAGTCTGTGCTGTGTCCCACAGAGAAAAAAGTCTGCATAGCAAGAGCAGTTTAAGCAGCAAAACAAAGGACTTCCATTCTTGGGGACAGTCAAACCTGAAGAGCACAAGACCAGGAGCAACCTGCCTTGACTAACACTGGCCTTGCTGCGAGGAGAGGACTGAACAAGGTGACCTCCAGAGGTCCCTTTTAATCTAAATTATTTTATGATTCCACTAAAACTGTAACTGCAGCAACTATTCCCAAGGTCAATCTACTGCCACACCTTCCCTGCAAGGAACCAGCATCACTTCAATACTCACATTACACTTCTCTGAACAGGTATCTGCTCACTGGCTTATTGTTGCTCCTACCAAGCCATCTTTTTCATGCTAGTTGTTAAGACAGACTGATTTTGAAACAAACCAACACTTCTCAAGTACTCATAACAAATGCATCTCAGGCATGTCGTACTTCACAAACCCAAGGGCAGAACCCTTCATTAAGGAACATTCAACTCCCTATTACAGCTCTGAAAAGGAAGAACAATCTGTGAAATAGTTAAGTTTTATAAAGTATGCGCTTAAATTAAGAGTTCATCTTTCCATAATGTCAGCTTCAGTGTGCTAAGATTAAACCACCTCATTCCACAACTGTCCCTCATTTTCCAAGCAGTACTAATGAAGTAACATCTAAAAATCACTTTTTTCTCCCCCCCCAGCTTGAGCACACACTGCAGATCCTTCCTCAGACCTGTCAAGTAACAAGTTTATGTTACTGATGGGCATTCCAGTGTCATTCTAAATACATCAGATCAATACCAGGCTCCAGGTTTTTACAGATACCTGGGAATTATTTGAGATGGGGGGGGTGCCTGCAGTGGAACAAGATGCACAAGGAGAAATAACAGTGAGTATAAGCCCTTCTTTATCTTGCCTGCACAAAAATCCACCCCCCTACCAGTAAGTCAGGACTTTACCTTCCTCTACAAGTCTTGCCTCATCTCTATAGTCATATACTGCCCACGCAGAGTCAGCCTAATTAATATTTTACCAACATCATGATGTAAAGTTACTTCACAGGAGCATTCGCTAAGAGAAATAGGTGTCGGTGTCACAAAAGCACCGACTTCCTCACACTGAAGACCTACAGCAAAAGGAGAGAGAAAAGAAAGAAATGAAGCTAAAACAAAAGAGCTGCACAAGTACAGACTTCAAGTTCTGAGTCATCAAGTCCCACTGTCAAATGTGGGTCAAGGAAGACACTTGACACAATCATGCTCAAAGCCTCCATCAGGACAGATGCACAACAGGGTTTTGTTAAGACCAATTTGAACTAACATGTCCAGAGCGGCAGGAGGAAAGAGAGGAGCATTTCTTAGAGAATACTGTCTTTTAAACTAAATATACTGGAAACTGCCCCAGCTGCTGCTCTCACTTCAGGGTACCCCTGTGGAGACACACCAGAGCAGACAGAGCTGAAATAAAGGAACAACCCCGGCAGGAATCAGGCCCTAGTCTCAAGGTTTTTACTGGGTAGCAGAGAACTTCATTTGTCATTTGACTCATCCCTAAATTAACACATTTCACAAAGGAGGCAGACATCATCAGGATAAATGAACTACTCCCAGGAGGACTGTGTTACTAGGTGCGGTAGGATGCACTGGATCTCTCCTAACAGCTCATACTCCAGAGAAAGGAGAATCTTCTGCACATCTTCCCCGGACTAAGACACCTGAATTAAGCAGAGCCTGGGAAGTGAGGAGGCCTTCCTACACTGTCCCTTTCAGGGGTATCATTCTGTCTCACAGCTTCCTTTCCTTGTCTGCTGACAAGCACGAACATTTGGCCAAGACCAGCAGTAGCACACCAAGCCGAGATGAGATTTTGGCACTGCCATGTGTGTGCCTGGAGCCTCTGCATTGGTTTGAGCTGCCAATGGTTTCCTGAAGTTGTCTGGGTGGGTTTTGGAGGACAGAAAGATAAGATGGAGGGAAAAAAAGGGGCCTCTTGCATTTCTCTCCTGCTCTGCTGACCTGCTTCATTTTCCTCTACAGTTCATGTATCTTTTTACTGCACCCCACTCCCCTCTGCTCGTTTAACTGAGAGCTCAAGTAAAGTCACACTTCTTAGAGAAAACCCACAAACCCAACCCAACTCAGCTCCTACTCACTTTAGTCCTGCAATCCTTTTCATGCTTTGAAATAGAATCATAGAATAGTTTGAGTTGGAAATGACCTTAAGATCACCCAGTTCCAACCCCCCTGCCATGGGCAGGGACACCTCACACTAAACCAGATCACCCAAGGCTCTGTCCAAACTGGTCTTGAACACCGCCAAGGATGGAGCATTCCCAACCTCCCTGGGCAACCCATTCCAGTGCCTCAGCACCCTCACAGCAAAGAATTTCCTCCTTAGATCCAATCTAAACTTCCCCTGTTTCAGTTTGAACCCGTTACCCCTTGTCCTGTCACTGCAGTCCCTAATGAAGAGTCCCTCCCCAGCATCCCTACAGCCCCCCTTCAGATACTGGGGGGCTTCTCTGAGGTCTCCACGCAGCTTCTCTTCTCCAGGCTGAACAGCCCCAACTTCCTCAGCCTATCTCCATACAGGAGGTGCTCCAGTCCCTGCTCATCCTCGTGGCCTCCTCTGGACTTGTTCCAACAGTTCCATGTCCTTCTTATGTTGAGGACATGCTGATTCCATGTACTTCAGTGCTTTCACTGCAGAAATCAATCTTTAGTGAAGTGCTTGAACAAGGTGTCTTGGTCTGCTTCACCTAACGGCTCCCCTCAATAAGCTGCTTCACTAATTAGCATCTCTGCTACCCACAGAGTCTGCCCTGCATGCGGCTGGGAGAGATACACATCGCAGGGAGGATAAACCTCTGCCCCAGGGAAGAGTTAACACCATGTTTATGGATACTCAACGAACACGATACCGAATTACACCTGCTTATGGGCAGCTATACAGATGGGCTACACCTCCATCGCGCCCGAGATGCAGGGGATCCACAAACTGTTTAATAATATACTAGGCCATGGGAACAAGTCCTTATTTCCTCATCCAGGAACTCACAAGGCTACAACAAAAGCAACCCAAGCACACCAGCGGCCGCCGTTTCTCCCACCCAGGAGAAGGCAGGCGAGTGAATTCCAGACATTTTCCTTGCGCTACCTCAGCATAAGGTACCCCTAGCACTGGGGGAGCCCCGAAGGATGCAAAGCCAAGGAAGCGAGGAGCCCGGCGTGCTCGTGGCTTATGTCGCGACAGACACAGCGAGGCTCTCGGGATAGGTCTTCCCTCGGTTACACAACATCATCTTTGCACGCAAAAAGAGACCCCGCGTGCGGAGACCCCGCCGCGGCCTCCGCGCTGCCTGAGGGGCGAACGGGGCCCCCCCTCGCCACCGGCCCTGCCCGGGGCCGCTCCACAGCCCGTTGCTAAGAGACACCGGCGGAGCTCGGCCGCCGAGGAGGGAACGAGCGGCGCCCCGGCCGCCTCAGAGCCCCGCGGCGTGAGGCGGTCCCGCGCTCACCTCTCGAAGAGCAGCCGCACAGCGAAGATGCCGAGCGCCAGCGGGAAGGCGGAGAGGACGTGGCCCGCCCGCGGGTACTGCAGCCCGCTGCCCGGCTCCCCGGCCAGGTCCGCCCACGTCACGTTGTGCGGCAACCAGAACCGCTCGTTCCAGAACCAGGCCCGCAGCGCCGCCGCCGCGGCCGCCGCCATCTTCCGCCGCCGCCGCCTCCCTCCCTCCCGGCGGCCGCAGCTGAGGCGGCCACCGCAGCCCACAGCGGGGCGGGGCCAAGCGCCAGCCCCGCCCCTCCCGGCGGCCAGCGCGCATGCGCGGGGGGGTGGGCGTGACTTCACCCTGGCCACGCCCCCCCTCCCGTCCCGCCGTGGACCGTTAGTCCGCTGCTTCAGCGCTCGCTGAGGGGACGGGCGCTAAGGCGGCTCCGGAGCCCTAGAGAGGGGTTTCCGCGGCCGGACGCGAGTTGTTCTGACTGAAAAAAGCCCTCGAGACAGTGTTTAATGCGGCCTAAACCCCGAGGGGAGGCCCCGGCTGAGGCAGGCGCCGAGCACAGCCCCAGCGCTGTAGGTAAATCACCCCCCCCTGCACCTCCGGTTCCTCAGGCGGGCCCATATCAGCTCTGAGAGCTCCCAGTGCTGCCAGCAGGACAGTGGGATTTGTCGTGTGAAGAGTGAATGGTAAGATAGCAAGGATTAGCTTTACTAATAGCAGCGTGGTTTAACAACATATAAGCACAACAGGTACACTGGCTTGCAAAGTTTAAATATTCCTTATAGAATTTAAAACACTCATAACAATCTGTGTTTTAGCTTGTCAGCCTTGTGATGAGGGTTATTGAGTAACAATTGGGCAAGCTTTTCAATTAGGCTCTCAAGCTCCATCAAGGTGGGCAGCATCAGCTTCCTTGTGCACTGTAGCCAATGATCCATCCTTCATATAATAGCTCTTCTGGCATCTGTCCAGTTGAGAGCAAATTAAACGGCCCATTAAGCACTCAAATACTATGATAACTAATAGATTCAGGGACAGGCTCGTTCATGATTCACTTTTCTTTAATCAAGGACTTTTATTGAAAAGTACCACTTGTGCTAATTTCTCCTGGACCACGTTCAGGCAGTGAGTGATGAGCACGGGTCCTTGTATCTCAGACTCGCAGCTGCCTCAGATTTAACCAGGACTAATGATTTACACCATTAAAGTCTCTGCTAACTGCAGCCAGTGTTGCTTTAGCATTATGCAGCTGGGGATGCATTGTAAAATTCAATTGCGTTTCCTAAGAAACAAGGAGTTTCTTAGGAACATGTCCAATAAATCCAAGCCCATAAATATTCTTCCCTTCCTTTTCAAATACACTTAGCACAATTTCCAGCCAGAAAGATCTCCAATTGCTTAGTAATCGGAGGAAATCTGATACCAAATGCATTTAGTTAGGAAGAGATAGAAGATGACAGAAAGAGCATATGCTTGCACAGCAGTTTTGCAGTACCTCCATCTGTACAAATCAAGTCTTACTTCTTCCTTAAGAAGAAAAATTAGCAGTATGTTGTACACCTTATGATGTGAAATTGATGCTATGTTCCAGCTAGATAGCAGGCTGCTTCTCCCTTCTCTCTCCCTCCTTCCCCTATATACATATGCATACACACATGCATTTTCTCATGCTGCTGCAGGGCACTTCTTGGTCTTGGTCTCTGTCTCTCCCAACCAAACCCACCTCAAGCTTAAGTGAAGATGACTACAATACAGAACAGCTTATGGGAAGGAGGTAGAAGAAGACCTCTCAGTTGTCCTCGGCTACCATGTCAGAGAACCACCTAAACCCAGAAATGGAAGTGTAAAATACCTGCACCACCTTATTTCTTTTGCCCATCCTGTTCTAATCCCTCTTCCATAGGCTGCTGCATATGAGAACACGGTCTGCCTGTTTGGCTGCGAACAGGCAAAAAGCGAACACACAGTGTCACCTAGTGGCACCACAAAAACCACTGCCTGGTCTCCAGCTCCCAGTTAGAACACCCAGCTTCTCCCAGGGTCTTTTTTAAATGCCACCTCTTAGTGAATCGAGTATGAACCCAGTCTTCAGGCTTAAATTTTCATGGAAATGACCAAACTTTATTGAAGATTTTGTAGTTAGCAGGACTGCTAAGAAAGCAGAATATTTTACACCTCAAGTATAGTAAAGAGCTAATTCTCATGAGAATACAGTACAAATATAAGCTAATATAAAAGGGCATCCTTCCACTGTTCAAGATTTCATTATTTGTAAAATAAATGAAGTCAAATTTAAAAATGTACTAAGCTTCAATGCCAGCAATCAAAGTTGCACTGTTCAGATGGGTTTATTCCAGATTTTCCCAATGCAGCATAATTTCACAGCTGTAATGAAAAGATTTATGGCAGCTTGATACAAGTAGGATTTCAAAGTCATCAAAAGGCCTTAAAATATTATCTGCAGTTTAAAATGAATGATGATGAATTGCAAGTAAAAAAAAAACAAACAACAAAGAAAACAAAAACAAAAAAATCCCACTTCAAATGCACATGAAATGCAAAAGTAGTGCCCTGCAGGCTACTGCAAAAGGGTTGACTTGTCCTCAAAGAGATCTGTCAGTCAGCACAGCTTCTGGATAAGCACTAAAATACATGCGTTCCAGCAATGGGCACACCATTCCAGTTGCACAGAGAAAAACAAGGAGAAGAGGGAGTCTTCAATTGTTCAAAGGCAGTTTTGAGAATGAAAATCACATTGCACTCAGTTGGAGATGGTTTAGTTGATTGATACTAAGCACATAAATGTTTTAATTGTCAAAAAAACAGCCCAGTTGTGCCCTTTAACTGTATTTAAAGTGCATTAAGTTACCATTTTTAAAGCAGGCCAGAAAGTCCCTTTGAAATTGGTCCCTAAGCACTGCAGTAGCATTTGTAGTGGTAGAAGTAGTGTATTATAGAAAGCCTGTTTCACAACAGCACTGTGAGCACAGTGAAATCCCATAAATTGTTAATGAAATACGTAGTGAAGCTCAAAAGGGGTAAAACAGTAGGAGTACAGAACAGCTCTGTTCCCATGCTGTGGGCACAGATTACCTGTTGAAGCTATCCCACAGCTGGAGACTTGCTTCCATGCACCTAAATATACTCTTTGCAGGCTTCCAGAGTATTTTCCCGGGTATTTGAGATACTTTGCACATAGAATTCCCTTGATGTCAATGTGCAGTACAGCATCGCTTTCCTGGAGGATAGCTCTTTGTTAAAGCTAAAACCACCCATTTGAAAAGGCCCACCCTTTCTAGTAAAGGCCAATTTATTCATCATCATCATCTTCATAGTAACGATTCCTTTTGATCTGTTCTTCCACCGACAGATCTTCCATATCTTCACCCTCCCAGAAACCAACATCTTGGGATTTGCGATTCTGGTTAGGAGAGGATTCCTTAGCAGTCATGACACTGGCTAAGCTGGAATGTTTAGGAGAATTTGGTTCAAGGAATTCTTCATTTGGAATGTCCTGCTCTTCCATACCATGTTCTTCCTCATCTGTCTCTGCATTCACCTGGCCATTTTCTACAAAGTTATGCTCTACTCTTTTGATACCAGGAGATTCCTGTTCTTCCTCTACATTTTGCTCTTCTGCACTCTGGATCTTCCTATTCTCAACCTTCTTTTCCTTTTGCTTTTTGTCTGCCACAACCTCTCTCTCCAATTCCTCACTTCTTTTCAACATGTCTCTCTCTGCCTTGGGAGGAGATGATGAATTCTCTGGTTTATGGCCTTTAACAGATACTGTTCTAAATGAGGCTGCGACTGTAAAGGGACGACTTCTCTCCTTCAATGAGGAAGACCTTCTTAACTTCTTGAGATCCAGATCCACCTCCTCCAGCACATCTGGCTTGGAACTCTCTTCCTCTGGGGGCCATTTGGGTTTGAGTACTTTGATGCCCTCATCTAAGGCACTTCCTTGACTGCTTTGGTCAGATGGAGGCGGCCAAGCAATCCTGAGCTTTTTAGTTTCTGCTGGTCTCTCTTCTCTTTCAGGCAAAGCTGAAGCTTTTGCTTCCATACTTGCTGCCAGAACTCCTACTTTTGCAATTGGAGCATCCTCTACCCCAGGGCTTTGTGGATTTTCTGTTGCATTAACACCATGGACAGTTTTCTCCAGGGATTCTTCACATTCAGTTTTGCCTGCCCATAATTCCTTATGCTGTTTGTGTCCAAAGCCTTCATCATAGTTGCCTTTAGACTTGAAGAGCTGATTGAAGTGAGGCTTGCAGTAAATATTCCCACGCAGAGATGCGTACGTCCCAAGACTGTTCAGGAAAATACAAAGTCAAATGTTAACATTCTGAGCCTCAGCTACCCAGATGATTGTATATTTTAGTTATGTTACCAAAGAGATTCAATTTCAGTCCTCCAACATGTTTAGAAAAGACAGCCTTACCACTTTCATGAGTTTGCATGACCCTCTTTTCAAGTGTCAGGAGTACTTTACGAAGTTGGACATTTCCCCACTTAAAATTCCATTAAGAGTTTAAAAATAGACTTCATCAAGTGCAAAAGCCACTGCCAGAACCAGGAGTGTATTAACACTCCTACGCTCCTCTCCAACTCACAAGGATTATGGCTGCCTTCAGCTCAGCTAAGCCTGAGCAGCACTTTCCTCAGCTGCTAGAAGAAAGCTGTACTTCCCATCTGGAGCAGTGTGTTTACCTGAGTTTACTGTTGCAGTAGGAACAGCGGAAGCAGCTCGTGTGAAACACCTGCTGGTTGGCAAAGAGCCTTTCCATGGGGTACACGGTCTTCTGACACCCAACACATGTTTCCTTCATTGGCAACTGAAACTTCTACAGGAAGAAGAGAAAGTTAACTGGAAAATGAACCAGCTGCTGGGGACTTGGCTTCATGCACAGCTTCCAGAGCTCCCAGAAACATTGGAGCTATTCCCTTTCCTGCAACTCAATGCTAATTATGGCAGAGTGGGTTCTGGTGGGCAAGGAGTAGGAAGAGGCAATGACGGGCCCTTAGGATTGCTGCGGCTTGACACTGAGCCAGGATTTCACCCCAGTGAATGCCACAGCTGAAGCATCCCAAGTTGAGCAATGGTTGAGAAGGAACAATGAAACTACCAGAGCTCAGTTCTACCTCTGACTGAGCTAGTTCCCAAAAAACTGTCTAATCGAGTTCTGCAACCTCCATTTTTCTTGACAGGAAAATGACAAAGAAACTTTGAGGGAGATACAGTCAGTACGAGACTTACCAAAGTTAAAAAAAAAAACAGTGCAGAAAAAGAGCTGAAATACCCTCAAAATAAAAGGTAGAGGGTGGGAGAGAAGAGGAATGGAGCAGGCTGCTCACAGTTTGAAATCACCAACTTTAGCTCAATGTTCTCCTCTCTTAAAGAGAAGGAAATTGTCTCAGTGCAGACACAGGCAGTAGGAAACACTTCTGACTCCATTTGTCCACAGTTCCAGCTCTATCACAAAGAAACTACTCAGGTTTCAGGACACGCAGCCCTCAAACTTGCTCAAGACTTAAAGTGAGGAGGGCTTTGAGGTTAAACAGCTAAAACTGTTCATGTGCTCACTAAGAGAGCTTCCTGGGGGTTTAGTACAAGGGTAAACTATGACACTAAGGAGTCAAGTGTTGCTGCTGTGCTGCATGGCAACGATTTCAGATCCTATTTCTGGCAGCATCAAGGACACAAGTAGATTGTCCATGAAAAAAGGTCACTTGATGCCATTCACTGCTTGGAATCTATTAAGGCTGGCTGATAGGGAAGACACTTTAAAGGAAAAATAACAGTTGAAAAATTGACAGTTTCAGGCTGTGTGTTGATTACAATGACTTCAGCAGCAAGGTAAGAGAGTGCCTGGCTCCATACCGTGGGTCTGCACAGAGACAAACTGCTACTGGAGCTTTTCTTTGACTGAAAAGGAATTACCTGCTACAAACCTACTGAAAAGCTTTAAGGAAAAATATGATGGCTAAAGAAAAACAGGAAGGTCACAGGAAGACATAATCTGAGCAATTTATTTATAACAGGCTGGAAACAATGGTTAGGCAATGAAAGTTACAGTTTGAAAGGGACAGGTTGCTGAAGACAGAGCCAGCTGAAGTCAGTTTGTCACAGCCATACAGGTTGCTGACAATTTAATTCCAGTTTAATAGGTATTTCATTTCTTTAGAAGCATTGCTTGATCTTATAGTAGATTACAGTTGTAATTACGATGACATCTTGACCAACAAAATACATGACATGACAGTGCTGGCATGTGCTTCTGCAATGCACATCCCCGTCTAAGAGGAGGAACTTACTTGTATAACAATGAGCCCTATGTCTGGTGGAGAGGCGTTTTGGGGTGTGAAGAGAAAGCAATTCCTTTCCAGGCATACTACAAATAGGAGCTACAGGAGGAAGGTGAGGCCCAGTAAATATAAAAAGCTTGAGAGAAAGCTGAGAGTTGAGCTCACATTAGGAGGGAAGCAGAAGGCAGGAGTAGAGGTTAGGAACCAAGAACAGGAAACAGAAGCTGGAAGAGACAAATAGGAACCTTACATGAATAAACAGCATCTGGGTTTCTATCTAGGCAGAGCAGCATCTAAGGCAGTAACAAAGTAGAGGACTAAAATGATTCTAATAATGTTAAGAGACAGCACACTCTGTGTGACCAAAATCCACAGGTTGGGTGTGCCTTGTATGCTGTAAGAGTCTGAGATTACAAAAGCGTTACAGGCAGCTCTCATTTCACATATTGGCATTTATACTCCAGAACGCTAACACTGGGCAGCCACATCTCACTGGTTTTCATGAGGTCAGTGCTGTTCCTCTCAAAGACGGGGAAAACAACAAAAGCACAGTTGTTTCCTCAGGAGCGAGCCAGGAAGTCTGTGGCAGCCCAGGGAACAGGCATCCTAACTCCAGACATCACACGTGATGAGAAAGTACAGTGGGAACAAAACCTTCAGCACTGCCATTTGTGTCTGAAACGATTAGCAAATACGTTCCTACCCAAGAAGTTCTCCATCTGCTTTATGCTTTGTAGCTCCCACTAAAGACAGTGGAAGCTTAAAGACTTGTTACTCAGCACGTCAAACTCAATCTTTGTGGAGTCAGTCACCACAGTGCCCTTAATATAAAGTTGCCACCAATTGCAGTTACCTTGGGAACAGCTGGAAGAGGAGGGTGGAAAGCCAAGTCCCAGCCTACTACAGGCTCTGAAGCTCAGTATCAGGACGTCAGTGCCAGTCTCTGGGAGCACTGACTTTCTAAGAGCTCCAGCTCAAAGCCCTTTTCCTCACACTGAAGAGGAAGAGACTGCCTCTGTCACAGAGGCACACTGCTCTAACAGCAATTCCAACTGAGTCTTTAAGAAAAGCTGAGTTTTGAGATGCTTTTCCATCCTGAATTAGAGTTCCCTCATGAACACAGATCAGATATTGATACAGTTACTGCCAGATCCTTTGTGACCACATCAGTTGCATTAAGGCTTTTCAATATTAAATAGAGAAGTCAGTTGGTTTTAACAGTCACCAATGTTTGAGACTAAACAGCTGCTTTACCTTCACTGCTTTTGGCAGAGATGCATCTGTCTGGCCACCTGGTTTAGAACCAAAGTTCTGCTGCTTTGTGCTGACAGGCTTCTGAACGTCTGTCTCCCTCTCCAAGTTTTGTCCAACTAAGGGAACAGAGAAGGAAGAAAAGGCAATTACAATGACTTTAAAACCAGGGAAAGTTTATGTTCGTAAGACCCAGCCAGCTAAGAGCCAACACATTTTTCCTTGAACATTCATCTGCCATTAAACCTTTGGATCTGGAGATTTAAACGTGATCATTCTACTTTTCTGAGTTACCAGGAAAGCTAAGTTGGTATGAAAAGGAAACTAATATATGGGGATCTGACATCTAACTTCCAGGAACCGTTCTTCATCCCTGCAAAGTGCTCACTGTGGACACTGAACTAAGTGCTTACCATTGCCATCCTCTAGGAGACCGGAGTGGAAAGACAAGTTGTTCTCGCCTACCTGCAAGAGAACATTAGACAATGAGCACCTTTGACCTTCTCAAGCCTGAATAATCAGGAGCTGAGTAAAACAGGCAGTTTGACACTGTAAGCACTGAAACAGAAAGAGACTGGCCATACTGAAGCGTACCCGAAGCTCCTCTTTGTTTTGTCAGGCACAAGGCAGAGTCCAGCTGACTGCAAGAATGGTAGGCCTTTAGGAGATACCCTCATCATTTTACAGCTCTTGCAATATTAAGATCATCTGCCACAGTGTTCACACACACAAACTCCTAAGTTTGTTTTCCCAAACACCTGTAGCTTGTACATCTTTATCAGTCTTCAGAAATCCTTGTGGATTTTGATGATGTACCTGCCAGGTTGTCTTACTTAGAAAGCCCTTGACACCAAGCAGTATACATTTACTGGAAAGCTCATGGCTCCCACCAACATGTGACAACGTTGGGACAAACATTCCTTGACCTACCCTGTGGAGAGCTGGATATAAAAACCAGTTTCAGCTACTGAACACATTACAAATAAAGCTCTTGATGTGTATTTCTTTATTAAACTTGGCACTATTAAATCAAATAGTTGTAAGTAGCTACACTGAGAAACTAAAGCACTGTAACAAGATTAACTGCAAATCATCACTAATTCATTTTAGTGATTGAAAGGTCCACTGCAAGCAGCTGAAGTCTGAAAATTAATGAGGAAGCGAGTTACATATATTAACATATTCTGGTTTACTGAAGGAATAACTAACACTAGCAGATGGGGAAGTGCATCAGCGTGTTCTGTGGCTGTTAGAGTCACACACGTCTGGCTACTAAATCCCAGATTCAGTGTGAAAAATGACGGAGAAGGTTAGCAAGTGCCTTTTGTTTCCTTTTTTTCAGTTTCTGACATTTAGTACTAGTAGCTTTCATTAGGCTTATTTCCAAAGTCCATAATGTCATTTCAAAAGGACAAGCCTGGCTCTCAAACAATGTCCTGGTCAGGTTCCTTATTGCACCTGGACACCTCAACAAGTCACTTCCCAATTCTAGCTGAATACACGAGGTTTTATTCAACTCTTCCATTCAAAACCAGGGAGGAATTCTGATTTAACCAATGTTCTTTAACTCACCTCTGAGCAAAAAGCAGCAGAACCCAAAGCTGTTCAGCTGTCAGTGAGGAACAGCTGAGAGCAACAACCTGGCCCCTTGCCCAAGGCAGGCTGGAAAGCTCTAAAAGCCCTCCCGGCATTAGGCTGCCACGTGTTCCCAGTGGCTGGAATGCACAGTACCCCAATTATTATTCAGCTACTTTTATCCCCTCTGCTGTCTCCAGTTTAGTCCACAAAAGCCTGAGCTTGAGCTTTATTGTCTCTCATTCACAGTGTAATTTTGTCTCAACTTCCAGCTGAAGCTCAAACCCAGGAACAAACCCAAACTGGCATTCGCAGTTACCTTAATCAAAACTTAGCCACTAAGTGCAGACGAAACAGGGACAAACTCCTTTTACTTGGGTCACACAAAGCTGCTCTTTTTTCCTAGTGTAGTTTATTTCTTGTTTTATCAAAAAACCCACAAACAAAAAACCCAACACCAAACCCCACAAACAAATCAACTACAGAGCTGTGAATCCCCTTTCTACAGTTAGGAAACATGAGGCACAGATTTTAGGGTAGCTTCACCATAAGCATCAAAAATAAGTGGCAGAGTAAAACCAAACAGAACACAAAAAAAAAAACACAAAACCTTCAGAGGTTTCAGCCCTTGTCAGCTTCTGAAGCGAGCAGAAAATACATAACCATGACACTGAAGGATTCTGCCCCACTACAGACATGTCATGACTGAGGCAGGGGAACCCTCCAAGAAAACTGAACCTTCATGTCTAGGTATTCCCTACAACTGCTTCAAGTCTTCCACAGAGACTTTCTCGCTTCCAATTCACAGTCTAAAAACATAACTTAAACCAGGAACTGTGCAGCATGCACACACTCTGTACCAGTTGCTCACATTCCATTCCTACATGGCTTGTGGAACAAGTACATCAGCTGTGCTTCTACAACCACTTCCACTGAAAGTGAAGCCCTTGACCTTCACCAGCATGAGCATCTTACCTTCTCCCCATCCTGACAGGAAATGGAGTCCTCAGGACTTGGTGGCATATTCTCCTTCTGCTCAGATTTGTAATTCTTGAGTTCACTTTCACTGGCTTGAATCTCATTCTATAGGATAAAGCACTTGAAAGTTGACAGGTTCTTTTCCCCTAGGACAGTATTTACTTTCTGGGTTTCTTAACATCTTTTTTCAGCTGTTTCCCTAGTATATACAGTGATATTTAAAAGGCAGGGGCAGAAAAAGCTATACATTCTTGGGAAGTGATACCTTCTAATGAAGAGAAAAGATGGGGCTGTAGAATTTTACTGTACTCTGTGGAAGGAATGTCAGCATTTTTCTCAACAACCCCTTTTTTCTTCTGGATTGCTGTTTAAAAACCAACTCTCATTTCCCCCGCTCCATCCACACCTTCCTTTTCCCAGAAAAGGCAACTTTTCATTTCAAATTACAAGTACGTCAAGGCAAGCACGAGCTCAAGCACTGTGTGACTGCAAAATACGGTATGACATGAAAGCAAACCCTACCCTTGCTTCAATACTTGTCTAACCCCTAATGCTGTTATTTACAGAGATTTGTGCTCTTAACAAACTGACTTGTTTCAGATTGCACAAAAGCATCTTTCATACTTTAGAAAAATTAACTCCAGTGAAACCTCATGGTTCTTTCATTGCCCCAGGAGACGAGGTAACTGCAGAAAGCCTCGTGCCTTTCACAAGGCATCTTCTCTGTGACATTAAAGAGAAACAGCCAAATGCCAGCACCAGCATCCTAGTGGATATTGTAAACAAGTCTGCACGAACCCAGCCATGTCTAATAGGTTTGGGACTGAAGTTTAATATCTGATCTCTAAACGTGCTGTCCATCATCTTTACCTCCCCTTCCTTTACCACTTGCAATGCATGGGAAAGATGGCTTCTCATCCTTACTCTAACCAACTGTAAGTGTCTATCAGTTTTAACGCAGGCCTAATTACACCACAGTGCCCTCAAAATAGTTGTTCCCAAGAGATTACAGCTTTCCTTTGTAGCACAGATGTGACACATTTGAAGAGAAGGGAAGTACAAATACCACACTACCATATCAAAAGAGCCCTGGTGGCTTTGTCAGCAGGGAAGGAGAACATCCAAGAGTTAAGGGCTGCTACTGGAACACAGAAGTGCTGCAAACACTGGCCTCAGAAACCGTTATTTGCTCCATTTTATGTGCTGCCCTTGTCGATGTGCCAGGCCAGAATCAAAAGAGATTCTGCCAAATGGGACATCCTACAAGCATCAGGCTAAAGCCACACTCCCCAACTGAGATCCCTGAGGATCTGCATCAAGAGACATCGATGGTAAATCTCTTGCCTGGAGGCCCTCCTTTAGTGGATCAGCCACCAATCTGAGTCACAAACTGGAAAGGGCAATCTAACAAACTGGATCCAGGTGAGAAACAGGATGCTGCAATCAGCAGTTAATCACATTTGCTGCACTGGCTGCAATTCCTTTCCATTCACACAGTGAAGTTTACTGAACTTTCCTCCCAAGGGTTGGAGAATTAGGCCCACAGTGCATATGAAATTCAGAAATCATTTCAGCTTTTGCCTCTCTGAAAAGATACCCAGGAAACACACATTCCTCCAAAGCTTAGAACCATTCTTTTCAGCTTTCATTTCCAAGGCAAATTTCCTAACTTACAAAGGCCAATCCTCTTAAAATTTATTACTCTGCTTAATAAAAACAATACTTTAGCAATAAAAGTTCCCATCATTAGACAAAATATCAGGCAGTTCCAGCAATGTACTAAAGAACTTTTTAACAAAAATTAGGTTCTCGCCATCCCTTCAGCTGCAACACTTCACCATGATTCATTAACTGCTCATTTCCTCACCAAATAGCTGCAAAATGGGCACAGGTTCATTCACAAGAGTCTAACTGGAGTCAAATAATGGGTGAGAAGACCTGAAGGGAGGTGAAAAGCAGAAGGGAGGAAAACTGGCTGGAGATCCCAAAGCTGCAGGCCAAGAGATGCACGTTCCATGCACTATATGATATTGAAAGTCACTTCATCTTATTGTGCCTCAGCTTACCCTAGCCTATAGCTGATGTATAATACAGAATTGAGTTGGTTTTAAAGCAAACATGCAGAGAGCTAGAGAAATGCAGAAAGAAAAAGAATGCCAGTTATAGAACAAGGGGTAATGGGTTTAAAGAGAAACAGGGAAAGTTGAGGTTAGGTATAAGGAAGAAGTTCTTCCCTGTGAGGGTGCTGAGGTGCTGGCACAGGGTGCTCAGAGAAGCTGTGGCTGCCCAGTGCTCAAGGCCAGGTTGGATGGGCTTGGAGCAACCTGCTCTAGTGGAAGGTGTCCCTGCCTGCGGCAGGGAGTTGGACCTGAATGATCTTAAGGTCCTTTCCAGCCCAAACCAGCCTGTTGATTCTGTCCCAGAAGGACCTCAGTCAGGGTGTCAGCAATTAAATCCTTGGAAAACTTTCAAGAGTATACCAAGAAGATGCAAATACTTATTTCTTCCTGCAGTATGCAGCTGCCGCTCTTCATTAGACACGACTCCCATGAGCACAAAGTTAGTTTCAAAAGATGGCATCATCTTCAGAAAGCCTGGTATCCATAAGATCTTCCTTCCAGTCTCAGGCTGGGACATAAACTCACTGCTATGAGGCAAACAACAGACTTACCATGGTGATGATGCCCGTGGAAGTGCCCTGCTTGGACACAGCTGCCTGGTACTTCGCCAGCCTATCCTTTATGGAAGTCTCTGTTAAGCGAGGCATCTCCAGGCTTTTCTTGGTCTCTGCCTTTTCTGGGCTCAGCGCTGGACTAGAATCTACAAGATGCCCTGCAAAAAGCAGCACATGAATAAAGGGGAACTTTGAGGAACACCAACAGATCTGTCCACAGAAGGATTACAAACCCCAGCCCTTCACCACTCCCAGGACCACAGAAATTCCAGATCTGAAGAGCATGGAAATGCTTCAGGCCAAGATTTCTGCTCCCAGAACTAATGCAGCTGGTTTCAGAAGGAGCATATTCACCAGATGCAGCAGCCAGTGGTCTCAGAAGTAAGGAAAGCAAACAGTTTTAATGCTGAAGACTGGTTTGCTATTACTGTCAAATCCAAGCAGCTGCTACCATGGCTAAATGGAAACGTACATTATTCCTACAGTGGAATAGTTGTCAAAGTCTTTGGGAAGCAAGGAAGGAAGTCTCACCTGCCACTGCCACCCTCTCCACAAGAATAACACGACATGTTACAGATGAGGATATCAAGAACAAATGCATTATGAAATAATTCAGTTTAGTCTCACAGGATCATCTGGAGCATCTTGTTTTATCTCCAGAGGAGCCTAAGGCTTTGCAGAGGTGCAGATCTCCTGACTCCCAGAACTGTGCCCCATTCTTTGCTATCCATCTTTCATTGCTGCTGCCAGATGTTAGCCAAAGAGGGTTAAAAAGCCAGCTCCTGTGCCTGCTCAGCTATGTAACTTCCTTGTGTAATGGCCAGGTCTTCAGAAGTAATTTAATTCAATAAAGAATGATTAAAGAAAGACCTTTCACTAGTTAGTGGACTAAAAGGTTGCATGAATCATTAAGGTCCCTCTTGGGAAAAATAAATTAATATAAGCAGTTCTTGCCATTCTCTCCAGTGTGGCTCAAATAAGAACACAATGTGCTTCACTAAGTAGTGAGATGTATTAGCCATAGGCTGAAAACGCAGAACATTGTAAATGCTTTGTTAGAAAAGAGTCTCCAGACATAATTCTGCTCAAGCCATAAGGCTGGACAAGTATGAGGATGAGAATTAAAGCAAGAAGGAAGAAAGCACAATGTGTCTGTTCACTGCTTCCTACATTAGTCTGACTATTGAAAGTAGTTCTAGGATTAAGACGCAGGGGAAAATGGGTTCCATTCCCTAACTTATAGGATGGTTTGGGTTGGAAAGGACCATAAGATCATCCAGTCCCAACCCCCTGCCATAGGCAGGGACACCTTCCACGAGCCCAGGTTGCTCCAAGCCCCATTCAACACTGCCAGGGATGGGGCAGCCACAGCTTCTCTGGGCACCCTGTGCCAGTGCCTCAGCACCCTCACAGGGAAGAACTTCTTATCTCCAGTGCCTTGGCTTCCCATGCTTAAGGGTATAAGGGTTTAAATTCAAAACGTTAATCAAATGCTACGCTCACGTGGGCTTTACAGATGGAAGATGCACTTCGGAAGATGCATTTCTGACAGGCAAAAGTTACTTCCACTGTGTTGCTTATTTCCTGAACTAAAGCACCAACCACAAGCAGGGGGTTTACTGACCTGATGTGCTGAGGCTCTTCTCTCCTTGGCCAACATCAAAGTCCTCTGAAGAGAGGCTGTTTTCAGAGATCCTTCTCCCAACTGCTGTCTTCCTCTGCTCTCTGGGGACCTGTGAGAGACAAGAGCCACCCATCAGCTGCCTGCACCAAGACTGTCCCCTATAAGCCTTTAAGCTGCACAGGTGTCAGTAGCAAATCTGCTTTACAGGCAGAAACAAGCAGAGCAAGGGACATCTTATTTAACCAATATCAAGTTTGGTCACTGAATATCTGACCCTCTCCCACCTGGAAAACCCCCTCTTGAAGAGGTCAGCACATGCCCTTTGAGCAGTTATCTTTGTTGGAAAGTCCCAGAACCACAGAAATCAGTTTTTAGGCACTTAACACTGCAAATACAAAACTTTAGCCTATATTCCAGCATTTCATACAGTTTCGTTTGAAGCTAATGTTCAAGGTCATTATCATCAATGATTTGCACTGATATTCAGCAATAGAAAGAAGAATAAACACTATTGTAAGAAAAGTTATCTGAAGTTACTTGTTTTGTTTTGAACAGCTTATGCATTGGGTACCAAATAATTCCCTAATTAGGTCTGATAAGGCTGAAGCTTAAGCAGGAGAGAGCCAGAGATTAATATTCTCAGATATCCAGGATAAGCATTCTCTGGAAGGCTGCAGTGCTGGGCAGGGTGCTTTGCAGCACTGCCACACAGATGCTCTGGCTGGCTCAATCACAATGATATTCATTTGGTGAGTCCAGCTCCCCAGAGTCTGATGCCCAATAAAAGAAATTATGAGAAGAAATGATGGCACCTTTGAGAAATGCTCATGAAGTGCAGAGTTGAATTCAAGTGCATCAAGGCAGGAAGTTTTCACACCTGAAAGTCAATCTATAAAATGCTGTTCCCTCCCTAGGAAGAGTTAAATCACAGAGCTGGTTGGAAACGAAGACTGAGGCTAATGTAAGGGAAAAGGCAGGTTTGGCAAGATGCTCCAACCACACATTCCCCCCCCCCCCCCCAACCCCAGCTTCCAACAAGTTTCTTATTTGCTGGTCACCAAACTGAAGGAAATTCCAAAGTTTTATTTTAACAGAACTGCAGCGTAAGATAATCACGGTGACAAATCAGGCACACAAAGCAGCAGCTTCACCAGGAGAGCAAAATGCAGCTGGAACCCCTCTTTTTCCATTAGCATGGGAAATATTTTCTATTTTTGTGGTTTTAAGACTTTGGTAACTTTTCTTCCTGGCAAAGAGCTCAGCTATGACAAGTCTTTTCCTTCCATAGAGTGTCGATAGGTTCAGTTTGGGAGCGTCTGCACACTTGTAAGGACTTGCAGATTCCTCACTCTGGACAAACTATGCTTAGGTGATTCTTATTCAGCCTATGGTAGCTTTAATGTCACCTTGAACCCACAACTCTGAAGCTCTTAAAAGTCAATTTCCTCATCCAAAGGGTCTAATTTTTGACTAGTATCCAAAGCTCATCCTGGCAGGCAGAACACACTTGAAGACGTGACCCTCTGAAGAGGCAGAAGAGAAAAGCCCACCTGAAACCCCTGGTTTAAACTGCCCTGGCTTTGGGGGGTTTGTGTTTTCATCATATGGCACCACACGTTTTCTGGCCCACAGCAGGAGGGACAAAGCTACAAAGCAAACCCCAAGTTTACAACATTAACACACAAAGTTTAATTGGCAGCAGAGTGCATAAGGAAGCTCTCACTCCTAGGAAACAAAGGTCTTCAGTAATTTAGATCCAGCACCTGGGCTTCCAACCTCACTGAAAGAAACCATCAGCACTCTTCAGCAGAAAAAGACTGAAATGAAATGGGTAACTTGTTCAGGAAACCTCTTCTCATTCTGTTTCACAATCACACCTGCATTTATTCTCCCTGGAGTCCTTCTCCAGCAACATGATGCTGAACTGCCTTCATGTTGAGGGGACAACCAAAACCTCTGTATTTTTATCAGCAGTAAAGGATTCAATACCCATCAGAAACACATTCCCCTGCTTTGACTCTACAGGACGTTCCTGAAGGTTGGTGAGTCCTGACTTGGGAGCAAAGAGCTTTCCCTCATCACACCACCTCACTGTGGAATCCACTGCAGCAGGAAAAGGTCAATTCTCAGAGGCAGTCATCTCATGACCAGCTAAAACAGACCAAGTTAATGAGTACTCCAACTGTCCCAGTCCTGCCTGCTTCTCTCCTCCTGTCCTCTTTGCCACCTCAGACACCTGCAGGTACAATTTCACCTGAAGAACTTCTCTGTAGGTAAATACAACACAATTAGGTCTTGAGAGTAAAAAACCCAAACCACCAACATACAAAAGCTTTAGAGTTCAGAGATATTTCTGTATAGGTCTTCACACTAAAACCTATATATATATAAAGTCAATGTTATGTAGATTTTATATTGGCAGTTTTATGTTGTAGGGGAAAAAAGCAGAGTAATAATGATAATAATGGCTTAACAAAGGGAAGATAAGGGTCTTTCCCCATTACAATCAATAGACTGACCAACTGAAGTCATTAGGATGATTCTGGCTTACGGATGGGAACACCTTTTGAATGAAGGAATCCCTGACTTCCAGCCTTATGCCTGTGGCACTCAGTTCCCTTTACAGTCCTGGCTGGGCCACAATTCCCATGCCACAGCTTCTGCTACTTGCAAAAAAGAGATAAAACATTCCTCCTGTGTGGAAAGCCCCAAGGTTCTAAGACGAAAGAGGTGAGCACAGAGGTACCTCAAACAGAGTTAACAGCATTTTGCCTGGGGCACAAAGAGTTGTTGGGCAAAAGACCAACTCAAAGTTACACCTATTTCATTATATACCAAGTGTGTCAAATGTGACCCTGCACATGAGGTTTGTTACAGGAGACAGTTAAGTTTTCTGCCTTAAAGGAAAAACACAAACCAACCTGGAGACAGCTTTGTAAGGAACACTGCAGATCTACTTTGCTCTGTCTTTCCTTCTGCTCTTCCTTGTGTACTCTTTTGCTATCGCTTACGGGAAGAATCCTTTGTAGCTGATAAAAGGGCTGATGTTCAGGCTTTGCTTAGTGCTGAACCAACCCAGACTGACATGCCTGCCTCTAGCATGGTTACAGCAGCTTTCTCCATGAAGATGCAATAAAAAAGATCTGCCTTTTATCTAAATTGCAGAAGACGGAGCAAGATCTGAATGAATAAATGAAGAAACGAGAAGGTTTTGCATAAGCAAACCCTGGAAATGAGAATAGGTTTGTTTAGAGTGGGTGCTCGAGTCAGGAAATCCAGGCTCTAATCTGGATTCTTGCCACAGGCTTGCCCAGCAACCAGGCAAGTTGTTTTATCTTTCAAAGCTGCCATGAAGTTACAGCCATTTTGCTATTTGGCTTCTACAGATGTTTTATCAGCAAAGCTCTGACAGCACTTTTACCTTAAGACTTACATAAATGCCACGGAAAATCGCCATCTCAGCTGAATTTACAGTTGGGTTTGTTGTTCGTGAAGGTCTTTTCAAACCTAAATGATTCTCTGAGGTCTTGCACACACTTAAACCAGGGCTTTAGCAATTCACAAAGCCCAGGCAAAGCATGAATGGAAGAGGCAATGGCAGAGCTTGCAGTTAGGCACATTTACACCACTGCCATAGTTGCTTCCTACCTTAGTGAAAAAGAGCTGTGTCCCCATAGTGCTTCAGGGTCTTTATTGTATGGGACTGCATGACATCACCCTCCAGGCCTCAGATAAGTTCCCAGAACCAGGAATCTCACAATAGTGCTTTCTGATTCCAAAGACACCCCCCTCTCCCCCATACACTCAAACTTCAGCGCACTTTGTGCCTTTTCTCTTCGAAAACTAAAAAGTAACCAGATGCACTTGGAATAGGAACGTACTTTGCACCGAACCTGAAGAGTTTCATACCTCCTGTACAGCACTGCCTGTGCTCAGGCGGTTTTCAACGCTCTTGGAATTACTAAACTTGACAGAAATATCACTTCCAGAGCTCCAAAACGATTTATTCCCCAGGCTAAGCTAAAGTTACTTGAAGCCCATCTGCAAACCGGTACTTTTCCTGTGGAATCCTGCCTGAGTAATCCTACAGGAAGAGTTGAGAGCAGCGCTATCAGATCACCCTCCACAACCCAGCCCTTCAGTGGACGTGACAGCACGGACAGCCCTCACACAATGACAAAAGCCTCCAAAAATCCAAGTTGTGGAAATTCCTCCGTACAGACCCAGTCCTCACTTGAACACTGAGATGCTCCTCCGAAGCCCTGAATTGTTGCGTATTTAAACAACCTTTGCACAAAAGTCACTTGGTTTGCTCAATACTGCAAGAAAACCACCCGCAGTCAAACAAAGGCCAGAAGTAAAGGAAACTATGAGAAAACTGGAAAATCCACGAGCATCAAGGCCTCGGGACTATGTTGCAAGTCACTCGCATATGCAACTCATTTTCTAGTTAAGCAATTCTCCCCGGGGACACAGAGTCTGCAGTCCACATGCAGGATCACATTTCATGAGCAGTTGTAGGAAAAATGCAAGCCCTGTGCATTTGCAAGTCAAAACTAGTGAAGGCAGGAGCCTGGCTGCCTATCTCTGCTGATTCCTCCCTCTCCAACCCCATAAGAAACATTTAAGATAGAAAGATGACAATACAGCAAGGAAAAGATGGGGAGTATTTCACAGCACACACATCTCTCTGCATGTGCCTGTATGTGACTCACTGATACACACATAAAACCCCCTTAGCTCTGGCAGCACTTCCACCTCAACTGCAGCCACCCGAGGTTGTTGAGCTCACTTCAAACAGTTACTTCTTTTAATACGTGTATTGTTTTACACCACTCAAGCTCTCATAGCTCATCTTAATCCTCAGACACCATACAAACAAACCCAACTCGCTTCAAAACCCCACGCTTAATGAATTCCATACTTTTCTCTCTTAAATTGCACCCCTTTCACGAGCAAATTCACATCTCCACTGAGCAATCCCCAACAGCCCCAAGCGCTCTGCCGGGACCTGTGCAGCTGAAGTAAGTTATTAACACCCACAACGTTAAGTTTCAACTACAACAATGAGTACAATTATTTGCAGAGTCAACAGATAGGAACCACTCCCTCCAGGGACTTTTCCTGATGCCCAGGAGGCAGCAGAGGTTTAGTTTCTCTCATGATTGGAGGGGACAGATCCTTACCTTGGGCTGGGTCGCTTCACCCTTCTCAAACATCATCTTGAGTTTGCTCAGCGGGACGCTGTACTTCTCTATCTTCCCCGACGAGTCCGTGTTTTCGCTGGCATCCGACTTCTCCCCCTCTCTGGGCTCTCTCAGGCAGTTTTCCATCCTGCCACTCTCTGCTGAGCGGCTTTTGGGCTTTCTGCTGTCACCACCGGGACACTGGGGCTGGCCAGGGATGCGCTCAGCGGATGGAGCACCAGCCCCCAGGCTTTGCTCTTCCTCTGGGGAAGGAGCGGGGCTGCTCCCGAATCCAAGCTCGGGGTTCGTAACCTTGTGCTTAACCTCAGCACAGCTGCTTCGTAGCGTTTCCTTCTGAGACTCCGTTCCCAGCACTGGATTCTCCCACTTCTTCTTTAGCACACTCAGATTCCCCCTTTTAAAATGAGGGGGAAGATTTTCTGTGTTCTACAAAGAACAAGAAGTTAATTCCAGTTTTATGCCTGGTGAAGCATTAAAGCACTTCCTTTCTATGCGAAAGGAAGCTGAAGGCTCAGCACTGAGCTCAGCTCTCTGCTTTTTCAGACAGCTGTGAATAGTTACAACTGTGCCACATGGAGAAAGCATCCAGGATAGGAAAGGAAGGAGGGGGGAGAAAAGTCAGGAGCTAAAGCAGGAAGTGAGCAAACAGGATGGCCTTATAAGGGAAAAGGGAGTCAAGCTTTGATGAGCTAAATGACACAAAAGGCTTCAATCCACCCATGAAGGAAAGGGGTCCCAACTCCACCCAAGGGTCTCTGGTCCTAGAAGGAGCAAACAATAGCACAAGCAGCCATATGAAGGGTGGGTGGTGTGCCAAATGCTGCAATGTCTTCCAGCTGCTTCAGAAGACAACAATCAGTGCAGGCCTTCCAAAAAGCTTAGGATTAGCTTTCAGAAACCACCACTTTTGGAGCTATGTATTTCCACTATCAGTTAACAGCAGTGTTCGAGTTACAAGAGATGCGCCTGCAGTATTTTTGCCACCCAGTGTAAGGCTCAAGCTAAATACTGATAACAAACACCTTTTTGCTCCCATTGATAAATACCAGACCATTTACTGGCTTTTTTTTCTTCTATTTCACTCAACACATTGAAAGCTCTCAGCAGGAAACACACACACAAGCTTGCAAGTGCTGCCTTACCACTGGGAATTAGATGGGGCAGCAGTAACCCTCACATTCAAGTGCTTCTCAGCTTGGTTGTACTTACAAGTAGTTACCTCTCCCCAGTGTAACAGAGCCTATGTTTGATTCATTCACATCAGTATCATCATTGTACTTTTGCTGTCTGTCCCTTATGGGGACCACTATGTCTCAGACTCACTGCAAGTGGAACAGGTCTGCAGGGCTTACAGGAATTAAACAGGATTAGCAGCTATATTAGGATTTAAATCTCTCACCCTATTACTCTTCTGGTCACATTTTGAACACTGCTTTGCAAATTAACTTGAATCCACCTACACTTCCAAAAACAATCAGCTTGTGCTGACTGCATTTGAAAGAAAGTACTAAAGTTACAAGGCAAATGTAATGCAGCAGAAGTACTGAAAATGGCACAGCAGGTTTCCACAGGAGCAGCTCTGGACCCAGCACACTTCATAACACATGTTCTTGCTTGGAACTTGGCTATTCCCTGATCACACAAGCAATGAAAATTTAAGACCAGAGAGTAATTTCTAGGATGCTTCATTTATCACACCTATATCCTGCATAGACAAAAGCATGACTCCCAAGCATTAAAGAGATGAAGGCAGCATGCTCTACCACAGACTTACCCATGTATCCTGAAAACATTTGAACAGAAATGAACCTGAGGATGTGTGTGAACAAAGACCATCAATCTTAGTGCCTGGTACTGCAGGCAAGGTCCTCTGATCCCAGAACAGTAAGTGCAATGCAACGTGAGGCTGTAACACAGCCAGAAAGGATGCTCTCCCTCATCCAGGGGTCTAAACCTTGTAAGGCTCCCCAGAGAAGATCCCCCTTAAGGGATGCTACAGCTATTAAAGATGCACACACGTTACATTTAAGACAGGCTGGTGGCTCTTTCTAAGCAGACTTATATATTTAGTTAAGAAAGGAAGAGGTACCACCCCACTGCCTACAGCTAAGAACAAAGAGATGGATATTCATGTGTTGTGGTTTTTTGCCTTTTGCTTAGGAGCGAATTGGTGACTCAACAGATAGCTTGGGGCAGGGAACTTCATTTGCTTTCCTTTCATTAACATTGGGAATGGGTAGGGGGAATGAGTCAAAGCAAACACTATGTCTAAGCCAAGTTTTCTGTAGGACACATGGCAGCAACTTTGATATTCCAAAAATCAACTGTCACAGCAGCATTAGGGTAGGCTCTTATTGCAGGCTCTTGCTTATTGCCCAGGAAGCAAATACTTACACTTCTTTTTTTCTCAGCAGTGGCTTCTTCAGCTGCCTTCTGATACCTTTGAGATGGAAGAAAGAGAGAAAAAACCCCAACACAACAGTTTTTAAATCAGAATACTGAATGCTCTTTAAGACTCCCTCCCCCCCGCCAAGGATTCCCTGCACTTCCTGGACTTATCAAATTAAACCAGAGACTTGAAAAACAGCAGCAAACAGCACCCGAGCAATGCAAAGTGATCAGACGTTTTTAAATCATTCAGTTTACAATAATAACACACATGATCATTGTTTTCATTCCCTAAGCACTCCGAGTCTCAAATCGAGACAGTTTACCTTGGAATAGCTGTATTGTTTCCACCGGGCAGCTGTCTGCTGTGCAGGAATAACTCAGCTATTGATCCAGCAGCTGCTGAACCGTGACAAATCACAGCTTGGCAGAAGCAGGACATCTACAGAAGTGCCAGTTCATTCTACTATGCTGGGTTGTAAACTGCACCAGTTCAGCAGTTGCTTCAAGAGCAGCTGAACCATCCCAGCAGTGGAACCAGTAATCACAGCCCTCTGAAGATAAGCCACCCTGGATCATGAATCAAAGTCCTTTAAGAAGCTAGAGGGAACTCCCAGCAATCTGCACACTCACAGCCCCTGCACTGCACAGGGTGAGCCCACTCTGCTTTTGAGGTGCACAGATTAGTCAGATGTGACACATTTTGCCATTTGTAAGCAGAGCTTTGCTTTCTAAAGGGAAGAAATGTCACCCAACAGCTGCTGGGGCAAGTGGTGTTTCTACCTTTCTTATCTGTGGAATTCTACTTTTGATACAACTCTGACTGTGTTACATTCAGTAAACAAGGCACTAATATTACAGTCATCAGCTTCAGCCTTCACATAATGGCTGCAGTCAAACCCATAACTTATGTGTATCATAGCTCCTTCCAAGAGAAATAATCTCATGTGCAGATACCTGCTGTATTACAAGTTTTCCTTTATCACATTTGATTTTTTTCCTGCTGTAAATAGCATGCTCTCATGTAGATTCTTCCTCTTGTTACACTAGAGAGTAGACAAACTGCACCCTTACTTACTCCTGCTCCACCAAGCTGCATTCATTGTACAGACTGAAAGGAGTGTAGCTGCCCCTCTTTAACCAATGCAAACATATTAACCTATGTCCCTGTACCCTAAAGGTTCCCAATATTGAATGAGACATGCTGAGAAAGGAAGATTCTCACTACGGGAAGAAGCCACAGAGGGCCATGGGGATGCAAGTCAAGTACCACGCTGGAGAACAAACAAGGGTTGAAGAGCCCCACACAGCACACACTGGAAGTTCCCCCACCATAGCACACTGCTCAAGTCTCTGCTGCTGCAATTTGCATGTCTCTGACCTGGCAAAACTGGTAACCTAAACACTTTATGGAACGAAATAAATGGCTTCATGTACAAATATTTAGGTAAAAGCAATTTAGAAAAATTATGCTCCTCACTGTGAGTGTCAGTGTTGGCAAAGCCCAGAAGCAGGACCGTGGTTTTCCAAGGAACTGAGGATGCTTATGTGGAGGGACCCTACTTGATCAGGGAACAGCAGTTTGGATTACTTCCAGTAAGCCCTTTGCAAAGGATTAGCCACATGCAGCAAGATGACCAGGTTCTGTAATCAAGCTTCAGTGAGTGAATAAATCACCTTAACAAGAGCAGTCAAAGCAAGCAGCTTCTGCCCAGGACACAGTACTTAAAGAGTAACTTCAGGAGATGTGTTTATGGGAAGTCCAGGTTGCCAACTATCCATCTACCAGACTCCAGAAAGTTTCTCCCACCCTCAACATTTAAACACTCCAAAACCTTGCTACACTATTAATGCAATAACCTAGGAGACTTGGTTGCCCAAATCCCATTGAAAATCCAAGCTGTAGTCTATATAATTCCTTAAGGAATTAAAAGCTTTTCCAGAAAACAACAATAGGCCACCACCACTCAGCTTTCTCAGTGTCTAAAATGATTGTGATTTGACTGTAACCCATCATCCATCTCTCAAGAGAAAAGGGAAGGGGACATGTGAAGAACATAGCTACTGTGACACACTGATGGAACTCTTACTAGAGGGTTTCATCTGTCACCACCAGTTTCTAACTGGTCTCAGCTTAACTGGTAATGTATTACTGCTACTTCTTGGGGTACCAGGCAGGAAATGCCATGTTAACAGAGAAACCTACGTAGTTTATGGCTTTAGCAGTTCAAGACTGTTTCTGCTGAAGTAAAACCCTAATGGCAATAGCCACCTGCATTCCCCACACTCTGCCCTCAAAACCTGATTGCCATTTGTAGTTTGACAGAGAACATTCTACCTGATTTTCTGAGAGCAGAAAGAAGCTATTCTGGCCCTAACTATTCTATGATTCTATGACCACTGAAACAACAGAACATCAGCACCTACAGAAACCTTTGCCCAGCACACATTAAACCAGAGCTGAAATGCCTTACAGATCCATATGAAAGAAGCACAGCAACTGTGAGTGAAGCATTGCTCGAGGTACCAGCTGTCAACCTGCACACACAGCTTGTGGCCAGCAGCCTCACAGCACTTACTTGGAGAACCTCTCCATGAGAGCTGACGACTTGTTCCTGTTGACGAGAGAAAGCTCTTTTGCAGTGATTTTCAAGGACTGTGAAGCCCATTGTCTTCTGTTAAACGGGGAAGGCTCCATCTTAGCACCACAAATACCTGCTCAGGAGGAGAGCACAGTGTCAGCAACAGGAATTACGTGAGCACAAGAGTAGCTTCGTAAAGTGATTCCATACCAAGCCACCATTCAGCTGCTCCCAGTGTACTGAGTCCCGATCATTTCAGGACTTTATCCGTCAATGGACTTAGAAAAAAGACATCAGATTAAAACTATCATTTCCTCTGCAGACAACATTAAGATGGGGCCCTTGATAAAAACACCAGCCACAATGAAAGGGGTGAGAGAGAAGCCACAAGCCAGGAGAAGGAAGCAAACTGCGGCTGAGGAGGATGTGGATGTGACCTCTAGATTCCCCATATGTACACACGGGCTCCACGAAGCCCTAATGTGCCCTCTCTTGCTTGGTTTCTGAACCAAATGTACTGGCATTTATGTAAGAAAAAGCTGGAGTTATGAAACCTAAGAGGATGTAATTCCTACACAGACATTTCTCATTCACTCTTGCCGTGCTCATTCTGAAGGCAGCAGCCGCTTCCTCTGTGAGCTGAAACAAAGTCTCCTGTTCATGGAAGCAGCTGTAAGCCTCCTGTTGCAGTGGCTATCGCTTACCTAAAGCAACAGCTTTCACTGCCTTGTCCTGCTGTAAATGGCAAGAGATTTTGTTCAGCTTTTCAGCACAGAAGGCAACAAGACTGTATCAGATTTTCTTTCTTTGCGCACTTGGTTTTCTTTTGTGGAGGAGGAAAGGAGGGGAGATTAATTTAGAGTTTGCTGATAAGACAAAAATAAAGCTGTGGGCCAACGCCTTTCCTTTTTTCCTCTTTTCTTTTATCCCTGCCCTCATGTCACACAATGCCTGCAGCAAGTGCATTGCCTGATCCTACAAAGCTAACCTTAGGCAGGCTAAGCTCCTTCTCCTATTTGCCACCAAATTCTTTATCTGGTTTGCACCATTAGAACTCTGGGGGTGTGAGTACAGGGCTGCCTGAGCGCGAGCCACACTCTAAATGGAAGCACCTTAAGCCAACTTGATAGAACAGTGAATCAAAGGTAGGAAATGCCACGTTTCTGGAATCCTTGTAGGCATGCAAGACTTGGGATCCTGTAGTGCCTCAGTCCAGAAGAACTCGGCTGCCACGAGTGCAGTCTCACTGATGGTCTACGCTGGGAGTCTCAGGGAATTCCAGTGCAGAGATGGGAGCTCGGGGCCTGTGAGGGGCCCAGCTGGTGCTCCAGCCAGAAGAACCCTCCTCAAGTGCTGCACCCTGCTGCTGCACAGAGAGAAAGGCTGCAGATGACCACACTGCTGTCTTGGCCGCTACGGGCAGGAAGGATGGGACTTCTCCAGCATCCCTGAATTCACCTGATCCCGTGAAGGGACTGACACCCCATGCCAGCACGGGGGTTACTCAAGGCAGTCATTTAGAGGGTGCTTTTAGATGTACAGGTGGAACTATCACAGCAAGCAAGAACAGTTGAAACACCCTGAAATGACTTCTCCATGGTACATTTCCAGCTTCCAACTCACAGCTCCACTGACAGCAGCCTCTGAAACGCTCCCATGGCCCCTTCCAGCTGGCAGGAGACACTCAGACTGCAGAGCTACTTGCTGGAATTCCTGCTTTCTCCAGCCATTTCACATCACCTCTCCTGTCCAGACTGGACTAAGAGCAGGACACCCTCCACTTGACTGCCTGAAAGTAGTTACCAACAGCACAAATCACAACCCACAAAGGAAAAGGATCTAATATAAGAGGAGTGCTCCATTTTCTCCCTTTGCAAAAAGCACATTATACATGCAAATAAAGGAGCATTTCTGTGATTGCAGGATGTTGATGCCCAGTAGCAAACATTCAGCATATGGCTTTAATAAAGCCACAGCATACATCTGCAGGGATTACACACAGAACTTCCAGTTCTTCATACAGAACCGTGTCCCTGTTAAAAAGGATGAATTCCGAGGCAGCCAGGTAAAGCCACAGTTTAACTTTTGGTTTATGGTTAACCTTGAGCCACAGGGAGCTCACCTGAAGCCCCACTCTGCAGCTTAAGCTGCCTGTCAAGAGAAAGCAAAGCCCAGTTTAACTGTTTGGAACAGAAGCCCAAGCAGTGATGCCCGAGCATCCATCCCACTGCAGCCTGTGCTGCTCCCACAGATGCTTCTTCTCCCTTGCCATGTTTCATTCTGTTCTCCTGCCATTTTCCCCATGAAAGCCTCAGGTGCATTAAGACCAGGAGGCCTGGTTTGGCAACAATCTCTTTCTAAAGGCAGTACGTGCTGCGAGGCCATTCAGAGGCCAAGTGAAGCAGCCTATCTGGGATCTCAATCTCTACAAGAGACAGAAACCAGACCTCTAGGATGCCCCGGAACTTGGGCTCCACACCTTTAACAGCACATTCCCAGCACATTCCCATACATCCAGACCTCTTCAAGCATCTCCGCACTTTCTTTGCTGCTCCTGCTTAAGAACTTATCCCAAATCATTCCGGGAAATAGCCCTTTATTGTATGCGTTACAGTTTAAACGGGACGGTGAGGATGCTGTGCACGGAACAGACACAGACGGTGCGGATGCAGCGCAGGGCCCGGAGGAGGTGGGACAGGACCCAGAGCTGAGCGCGGTGTTAGGGGAGGGAACGGCTGCGATGGGAAAGCACCAAATCAACCTCCAGTAACCGTAACCGAGCGTTCGAACGGGAGGATAAACCCGGGAAGGACCCGAAACGTTCCCGCCGCGCTCCCCTCCCGTCCGCACCCCCCGAACACCTCATCCCCATCCCCATCCCGGCGGGGCCATACCCGAGCCACGGCGGGGCAGGAGCGGGCTCTGAGCACCGCTGCCACCGGGCCGGGCCGGGCCGGGCCAACGGAGCCCCCAGCGCCCGGCTCCGAGCCACAGCCCCCGGCCCCTCCATCCCGCGGGAGCGCGCCCCCCAGCGGCCCGGCGGTCCTACCCCGCTCCCCCGCCCCACGCACCTGTCGCGGCTGAGCCGGTGAATGCACCTCCGAGCCGGCGGCGGCGCCGGGCACCCGCGGCGGCCCCGCCCACGGCCCCGCCCACGGCCCCGCCCCTGGCGGGGGGCTTCCCCAGCGCATGCGCACTGCGCCTGCCCGGCGGGGTCTTCCCGCCTTTTTGGCGTCGGGGATGAGGTGGCGGCGGCGCTCGGGGGTTTCACCGCGATGGGGGAACCGGGGGTGACCCCGTGTGTCCCCATCCGCCCCCCGTTTACCCCCCCCGTTTACCCTGGTCCCCTCCGTGTGCCCCGGTCCCCTCCGTGTGCCCCGGTTCCCCCCCGTGTGTCCCGGTCCCTCCCGGGTGCCCCGTTCCCACCCCCCGTGTGTCCCGGTCTCCCCCCATCCCACCCGCGTGCCCCGCTCCCCCCCCCCCGCGTGCCCTGCTCCCCCCCCCCCGTGTGTCCCGGTCCCACCCCCGGTGTGCCCCGGTTCCCCCCCGTATGTCCCGGTCCCCCCCTTGTGTGCCCCGGTCCCACCCCCTGTATGTCCCGGTCACCCCCCCGTGTGTCCCGGTCCCACCCCCTGTGTGCCCCGGTTCCCCCCCGTATGTCTTGGTCACCCCCCCGTGTGTCCCGGTCCCACCCCCATGTGCCACGGTGTGCCCCGGTTCCCCCCTGTGTGTCCCGGTCCCACCCCTTGTATGTCCCGGTCACCCCCCCGTGTGTCCCGGTCCCGCCCCCATGTGCCCCGGTGTCCCGTCCCGTCCCCCCCCCCGGGGTGCCCCTGTTCCCTCCCCGTGTGTATCGTTACCCCCCCTCCCATGTGCCCCAGTCTCCCACCCCCGTGTGCCCACGTATGCCCCCTGTGTGTATCGGTACCCCCCCCCCCATGTGCCCCTGTGTGTTCACCCCCCCCCCCCCATGTGCCCCGGTTCCCCCCCGTATGTGCCGTGTGCCCACGTATGCCCCTGTGTGCCCCGGTGTCTGCCTGTCCCCCCCCTTTGACCGCTGCCCGTGCAGCTGTGTCCAGCCTTGGGTCGGGGGCTCCATGGGCCCGGTGAGGGTGAAGGGTCCCACAGCCCCGGCCTGGAGTCGGTTCCAGAAGCGGCCCCACACCGTGTGAGTCACAAGGTGTTCGGTTGTGAGAAGGGGCTGAGAGCAAGGGGTGTCCGTGCTGGGCATTGGGCCCCGGTGGGCTCAGTTGCTGTGCAATGAGAAGGGTTTTCAGGAGCCAGAGGAGGTCACCGGCATTCCTGAAGTACCGGGAAGCTCCTGTACCTTCGTTAGCATGGAGGGCTCTCCCCTGCAGCTGCTTGAGGGGTTTATGTGAGCAATGCGCTCTCAGGAGCAGCTTTAGCTTGTTCGCTCCGTGGTGTTCTTCATAATGTGTAAGGTACTGAACTCCTGAGTTAAAGTAACTGCGTGTAGTCAGCCATAGACTCATGCAATAGAATCATAGAATAGTTAGGGTTGGAAAGGACCTGAAGCTCATCCAGTTCCAACCCCCCTGCCATGGGCAGGGACACCTCACACTAAACCAGGTCACCCAAGGCTTCATCCAACCTGGTCTTGAGCACTGCCAGGGATGGAGCATTCCCAACCTCCCTGGGCAACCCATTCCAGTGCCTCAGCACCCTCATAGCAAAGAATTTCCTCCTTATATCCAACCTAAACTTCCCCTGTTTCAGTTTGAACCCGTTACCCCTTGTCCTGTCACTGCAGTCCCTAATGAAGAGTCCCTCCCCAGCATCCCTATAGGCTTGGGTTGGAAAGGACCTTCTGATCACCCAGCCCCAGCTCCTGCTGTTAATGAGGCCAAGAGTTTAATGCTGCCTTTTTCCCACCCACAGCTCCCATCTACTTTGAGCCATCCCAAACTCCCAGCATCCTTGCCCTGTGCCTGCGGAGCCTCCACCGGATCCCCCGAGAGTGAGACAGGAAGTGAGGGGTTAAAATGAATCCATTTTATGGGTATCACAGCACTGATGTCAAATTAAGGCCTTCCAGTAAAAAAAAAAAAAAAATGAATTATGGCCCAAAAGATCCATTCCCTTTGTAAGTTACAGGCTTTGGAGTTGGGCTGGCACTGAGTGTGTGTGCTGCTGGGATGGAGGCATGTCCTGGTGGAGCAGATGTGACAGCAGGGTAGGTAAACCTACCTGTGCTGTCATTAAGTGCATGACTTGTACAGGAAATTGCCTGTTTATCTAGGTTATGTGAGCAGGACACTTTGAGCTTCATGCAGTTGCCTGTACAGAGGTATCTGTTGCTATTTGAGACACCCTCGACCTCCTGACACGTCAGAATGGGGTTGATGGCACAGCACAGGACAACACAGCACCCCTCTGGGCTGGGTTCCTGCTCTTCCTGGTGATGGGAGCGCCATGGGGCATCCCAAGTGACACGAGCTGCTGGTGTTTAGGTACTTTTAGCATGTCATTCCCCCTTTGCCAGTGTTCAGCCTCATCCATCCACTTGCCGTAATGATCTGGTTTGGCTAAGGGTTAGAGGGGAAAATCTTAAATAGAGTGAGAAATCATCCTCCTCTATGCATACCCCCTTACAGAAGTGATCATTTTAAGGGTTACACATGATGGAGTGGTCCTTTTGAAGTGTTGGGAGTACAAAGTTATTCCACAGTAGTGCTGTAAGTTTAATTACCCAACTAGCAAAGGTAAAACGAAGCATCTCGCTGCTTATGTACATGACAGCAGCTCACAGATTGCTAATCAAAAAGGGATGAACAATGACAGAGAAAAAGCCAAACTGCATCAAAGATAGTCTAAAGCCTCAGCCTCTGTGCTTGGGCCACATGTGCAGCTTCCTCTCCCAGCAGCATCCGTGTGGCAAAGGGATGTGCCTGCAGGATTAGTGCCTAAATGAGGCCAGGCTGTAACGTGAGGCACTGCACACCACAGCAAGGATGGGCTGAGAGGCAGATGAGAGCGGTGGTTAGGAGGTATCACGCTGCCTTCATTAATCGTGTGTAAGGTTTTCAGGATTTCATTTACAATGTAGATCCTCCTGGGCCACAGCAGTGACAGCTCTAGCCCTGTCTCCTGGACCCAGAGGTGGCAACAGGAGATGCTCTTTGGGCAGGCATGTGAGCCATGTACTTGCTGCTGCCTGTTCCTGTCTCCAGCACTCTGGATATAGTAGAGTTGGTGCTGCTTTAGCAGCCATTTATGGACCTGTTGCTTGTGAATTTAGGTAATTCCTGTAAAACTTGTTGACACTGTCTTCAGTCTTCCATGAGGTCCCAGACTTGTGTCAAAAACTGCTTGCTTCTGTTTTAAACTAATCTCATTGTTTCAGAGTGTGCCTCCTTGTTCTTCTCTAGCAGAATCCCGCCAGTATCAAGTCTGCATTCACTTGTTCTACCTCCTTCATGACTTTGTAAACCTCCTTCTCTCTAAACTGAGTGTCCCAGCCTCCTTGGCTTCTCCTTATTAAGGCAGCTCTTCCCTCCCCTCCTCTGGACTCTGTGTAACTCCATCACATTCTCCCTGAGCACATGAGTCCAGAACTGCACTGGGTCATTTCTATCAGAGCAAACCGAGGGCTTTGGCCTCACCTCATTGTCTTCCCTGAGCACAGCCAAGGTTCAGCTGCAGTTTCAGCTGTTGCTGCACCCTGAGCCAGTGGCTTCCTCATGAGAAGTGCCAGTCACAATCCCACAATCTCGTTGCTGAGTTGCAGCTGGCAGCTCCGAGCTCTGCATCCATTTAAAATGCATTGTTTGGTGGTTTGGTGAGAGGTTGGTGTGAACTGCAGGTACAAAGGGCAATGAGTGCATAAGATACGAACAACCTGTTCTGGGAAAACCATCTTGGGCATAGCTATTAATGGTCCTTGTTTCTCTCAAAGGGCAGCATCTTTCCTAGTGTTACTCTTAGAGCAACAGAATGCAGCTCTGGTAGGAGATTCATACCAGAGAGGAGAATCCAAAGAATTATCTTCTTGGTCCTCCCCTTTGGCTATTTCAAGTGTTTAGCTTCTGATGTAGCAACGCTTCCTGAGGGAGTCTGTGTTCTCCATCGGACTCTGATGGCTGGGGCTGCAGAGCTTCCTAGAGAAGAGGCCCAGCACTAGCACACAGGCTAAGGCAGCTGCTGAAGGAACACCCAGCGCTATGGACAATACTCAGTCACCCACATGGCTTTTTCTTGTTCTTGTGATCTCCACCCAACCCATGAACTGGATGTGACCCCTCCCAACAGCACCACTGGTTTGTTTAATCGGTGACTAAGCTGGAATTTTACTTCCATTTCTAAACGTGCTCTGTCAGTCCTTACGTTCCCTTTTTGGTTTTTAATGAAGCCGAGGCAATATTAAAATACAGCAACCATTGACCTGTCGTGGCTTAACCTTCCTAAGGAAGCATCACCCATCTGTATTAATGTGGTCACTTCAGGGCTGGAGAGCCGAAGCTTTAGGTCCTATGGAGAGCCCTATCCCAGGAAGCAAGAAGGTGTGACCTGATCTCGCTTAGATCTAAGTTACTGTACAAGTGCCCCTGTGAGACTCTGAAGCCCTTTCCAAGCCCTTCATTCAGGCAGATGTTTAGGACTCCAGGATTGTTGCTTCCAACAGCACGTGTGTTACCCCAGCAAGAACACACTTTAACTCTGCGAGTGAAGGACGATGAAAAACGTGTGCAGGTACAAGATGAGCACAGGATTTCAGTGCAGGCTTTTCCAGTGGGGGGTTTCTCTTACAAAAATGCCTCTTGTTTTCTAGCCATCAGAGAGTGCAGAGTTGAATAACTCCTAGCAATTCCCTGAGCTCTTTCTTGAGTGGCAATAGTGAACTTAGACCCCATTGTTGTCTGTAGTTGGGCTTGCTTTGCCCTTACCTCCTCGTATTCATTAGCATTTCGTTTTGCCTGCAGTGTTAATGCCATCATGAGATCCTTCTGTGGCTCTTCCCAGTCAGTTTGGGTATCCCAAATCATTCTACATCGTCAATAAACTTTGACACTTCATTGTTTAGCCTTTTTCCCAGCTCATTGATGACTGTATTGTGCAGTTCAGCTCTCTGTAACACAGATGCTGTGTTACAGTGCTACACATCGGAGGCTTATAAAGCAAAAGCTGCTGTTACTTCATGATGAAAGAATCCCAACCTCCCTCCAGTCCAGACACCAT